AGGTTATCAATCGGCTATCAATAGGCTACCCTATTGGTAGCCTATTGAACTTGCGCCATAATCCATCACCAATCGGGCAGGCTGATTGATAACCTATTGATAACCTATTAATACCTTATTGATCTTATTGATAACCAATTTGATAAAAATACCAATAGGATACTAATAGGTTATCAATAAGTTATTAATTGGCTAACAATCAGCCTGCCCGATTGGTGACGGATTATGGCGAAAGTTCAATAGGCTACCAATAGGGTAGCCTATTGATAGCCGATTGATAACCTATTGATAACCTATTAATACCCTATTTAACTAATTTCGACCTGTGATTGCCTGAGGAATTAATCCTCTTCATGGTCAAGTTCGGAAACTTGACATTACAAACTGGACTTGTGCCTATGGCATGGAAAACATCGGTCATTCTTCCCATACCTAAGCCCATCAACTTTGAATACAACATTTTGAATACTCGACCTATTGCATTGTTGGATTGTTTTCGGAAAACCTTTACAAAGATGATCACGAATAGGTTGAGTTCAGTTTTGAAACAATGTAACGTACTACAGGGATACAATTGTTGCGGTTTATCTGGAGAATGCACAAGCGAACCAATACACCTAGTTAACAATTTTATAGAAGATGCCAGGGAAAATAGTAAGGAACTATGGGTCCTCACACAGGATATGAAAAAGGCGTTTGACTCAGTGGGATTAAAGGTTTTAAAACGAGCCATGCTTAGTATTGACATCCCAGCATCATTGGTTGAATGGATTATAGCCCTCTTCAAACACAGACACCTTAAAGTAGCCACAGCGTATGGACTAAGTGATGGGTTCACCGGAAATGACAGAATTGATCAGGGCGACGCACTTTCCCCGCTATTGTGGCGAATTTTTTATGATCCGCTGTTGATAAGAATACAGCAAATCAAAGACAGCAGATATGAAATGAAGGTTACCTGGCCGAATGATATTAATGACCCTATCACATGGACGCAATACAGGCTTCAGGTTCCCGTATGTGCATATATGGATGATACGATATTCTTAGAATCATCAAGATTTAGGATGCAAAATATAGTAGATATAGCAAATGAATTCTATATAATTAATGATATTGATATCAACGCTAAGAAGTCAGAATTGATAATCATCAACCCAACTGTGGAATGGCACGAACAAAATATTGAACTAGGTCGTGATCGTTCTATAATTCAAGCCACAAATGAGGAAATAAGGTATCTCAGAGTCTGGTTCTCCAATAAACCGAGCAGACGACGATGGATGCAACGCCTATCTATGATAGTCAACGATTTTTGTACTATAGTCCGTAGGAAATTCGTTTCAGCTGGTCAATGCATTTACCTAATCAATAAAGTATTAATACCTAGACTAATATATACAGCTCAAATTATGACATTATCAGAGCATGATTGGAATCACATATTTGCTCCGGTAATGAAGGTGGTAAAAAATTGGTTGAAATTACCTAAGAACACACCTTCGTCATTATTATTTCATGAGGGATGTCTCGGTATGGATCATCCATGGAAACTCCACTGCATCAATACCATAACAGACTTAACGATTAGGTTGAATAGTGATTCATACGCAGCGACATTAACACAGATTAGACTCAGAGACGCGCAGCTTAAATCACTCATTACGGATCCAATTTTTGACTACGATCTTCAAGTAATGCCTTGGATAAAGCCTAAGCCCGGAAAAACGTCTCATTTAATGCATTGGTAATAGCTAAAACCCTCGACATGACAATGGCGATAGACCCGATTGATAGATCAATCTGGAGTGTATTAGGGGGGAAAGAGCTGATATTAAAGTTCTTTAAACAATATCAACTCACAATCGGATAAACCAAAGCCCACATTACCCAATATTCTATATTGATCAATTATTTATCAGGGGTACACATCTTATGACATGGAAACAATATCGTAAATTAGCATTACTCCCGGTACAAGGAAGGGTAGCCAGATGGTATAGTGATGTGACCAATTTATGCACATCCAGAATAGATAATTTAACGGTAAATGATGATCTGAAGCTTGCTAAAGTTAACCATTGGGCCTTTTTAATGGATATCACACCAGACGCACGCCGTAAACAAGTTGTCTATGTTCGGGAACCTTTGGCTAATTCAGACGCATGGTCAATAGGCAAAGTTAACAAAATACTCAAACACGAACAGGGGATTTTAGTGAATTATCGACAGGGATACAATAATAACGGAATCATAGGATGGCAGGACACGGGACGATCCATACCGGCTTACTATTGCAAGGTGGCAATATTAGAAAAAAGTTCTAATATGCGCGGTTGGAATTTCCCTAGTGAATGGTTGTCATCAACTCATCGATCTAACACCATGATACCTGATGATATGGTACCAACAGCGGCCCTAAATCCTATAATTAGTTTACCATTGGTTCAAGACATATGGATTCACAAATGGATAGATGATGATAACCTGAAAGCTCAACTAATAGATATTAGAAATATACTAGCAGAGAGAACAGAGGTAGAATATTACACAGATGGTTCGCTCATACCAAGCATCCCTACATCAGTGGGCAAACAAAACCCTAATCTAGTGTACACAAATATGGGTGCAGCGTTTTGTGTTAATAATGAACCTGCTTTGTCAGCCCAAACAAATTTATCATTATGGCCCTCATCTACACGTGCAGAATTAGTGGCCATTTTCCTGGCATTACTAACAGGTCCTATGAATGCAAAAATCAGGATCTATACAGACAGTCAAAGCGCCATCTACATGATCAATAATCAACATAATAAATCAGGCAGGAAACTACTAAAACAGACTAATTCTTTAATCTTACTCAAGATAGATATTCTTTTACAAGAAAAAAAGATGGATCTAGAATTAGTGAAAGTTAAGAAACATAGTGGAGATGTTATGAATGAAATGGTAGATGAATTAGCTAAAAATACAAGTAACAACAGCTGCTACTTTAACAACAGGTTTAGCTATCACTGGTCAACTTGTGCATTTGATAGTGAACGATATGTAAGAAATATGTGATATATCAAAATGATATACAATTATCATTGGTTGATCCATGATTGTGTAATCTGTGTAACCAGCATGTAACCCATAAGATCTTTTTAGTTTGTTTTTTTCCTCACATTCTTTATAGGCGTGTTCTCTCTTTATTAAGAACTTTTAGGCGAAAACTTGTAAGTTTAAAACTTATCTCGTTTCTTAATTCTACAAAGTTTAGATCGAGTTTAATTTTTTCTCTTTCTTAGATAGTTTATCACTTTCTTGTAAGTCAATTAACGCGTTTATTATTCTTATTTTTTTATTTTTTAAACATGTTTTATTACTCTTATTTCCTAACTAAACCACGTTGATTTATTGCAGGCGGGTTCTAACTTCCCATTTTCTCCTCCCTTTCTTTGCTTTCTTATTTCATTCTTAGGTGTAATAACGTTATTGTTGTTATTTTTCACTTTCTTGTAGACAGGTCCTAACTTTACATTTCCTCTTTGTAAGTCAATTAACGTGTTTTATTATTTTTTTAACATGAATTTTGTTACTCTTATTTCACTAAACCACATTCAATTTTGCGCTTTCTAACTTTCCATTCTTTCTTTGCTTTCTTAGGGGACTTTCCAATTTCTTTAAGCAAGTTCTTTTAGGCGATATCATAAGATTCCTTTCAAACGAAGAATCTGTAATAATGGTAAATTTTATTTGTATATTTGGGCTTTTTTTATGGAGAGCAATTTTCTTTAGGTTTTCATTCTTAGGTGCAATAATGTTATTGTTGATAGAATTGATATTTTTTACTTCTTAGTTTTTTTTAGATGAAATAGGATTTTGTTTAATTATTTTAATTATGTATAATAATATAATTATGAACAAATAAAAATAACAAGTACATTATTTCAATAAATTAGTTGATTTTTATATCATATATATAGTATATAGTATTGTATACATATAAGTAAATATAAAATTATAATATAATTAGTATATTATTTAAATACATTTATAATATTTAAAATATATTCATACGAGTTTCAATTTATATGATATATATATTGTTTATATATAATTACTATATTATATATCACATTAAAAATATATATTAATTATGTATTAATTATATATATATTATATTATTTTAAATATAACAAATATATTGTATCAATATTGTTAATATATATTTATAATATTTAAAATATATTCTTAAGAGTCTCAATTTTATATTATTTATTTATTATTCATATATAATTATTATATAACAAATATATATATAATATATTAATAAATATATTTTAAACATATATATACTAAACATTAAATATATATATACTATATATTTAATATATGTTAAATATATTATAAATATATTATATATATATTATAAATATATTATATATATATATTGAATATACAAATACTATATCCTAAATATATATATATAATATATTAATTATATAGTATTTATATATTTAATATTAAGTATTTATATATTAAATATATTATTTCAAATATAACAAATATATTGTATTAATATTGTTAATATATATTTATATATTTAAAATATATTCTTATGAGTCTCAATTTCATATTATTTATTTATTAAATATATATAATTATAATATTATAAAAATATTGTAAAAATATTTTAAAAAATCAGAGATTTCAGCAAAGATTGTCTATCATCTTATATTCAGATGGGACTACTTTCGATGGACTGGGCAAGACATCAGGCCATCCAGTATTTTTAACGCTTAGAAATGTTCCAAATTGGATTTGAAATCTACCAGAATCTAAAATACTTTTAGGTTTTTTGCCTAAAGTTCAAGATTCAGGCATTAAAACTACTGAAGTCTTTTGAAGTTTGCAGCGTGAAATATTTCACAAATGCTTTAATATCATGTTTTGGCCTTTACTGGAGAAACCTGATACGTTATGTTTTGGGATTAATGAACAAGCGAAAATATTTGCTGCACAAATTTCTTTTTTTCTCATGGATATGCTTGAAGTAGATGATGTGACCGCTACATATAAAGTAGCGTGATGTAAAATGCCATGATGCATGCCATACTTATATGGTTCTGCAAAATAACTTAAACGATATGAAACTTATACGAGAAGATATACTTTCCAGAACTCATGAAAATATGAAGGAAATAGTTAGCGCTGGACAAGGAAAGGAGTATTCTGTACATTACGTCAAAAATGCCTTCTGGGAATTTCTGTAAATATCACTAAATTTTATAAGTAATGACGACGTTGTAAAAATTTTTTTACATATATAAAATTTTTTACAGAAATCTGAATATTTATGAAGCGTGCATTCCTGACCGTATGCATCATATTGATCTTGGACTTTTTAAATATCAACTGGAGTTTATGCAGGAAATCTTAAAAAAGGTTGGAGAGTTAGAATTACAGAAGATTTTCAATGAATGTCTTTGACAAATTCCACATTTTCCAGGCCTTAAATTGTTAAGTAAAGTAGGTCAACTAAAAGTAATGACAGCATCATCAGACTATAGTCATATTATAAAGATAGCGATTTTTGCTTTGGATGAAATTTTCAGTGAAGAAAATGAAATAACTTGTAAAGAACTTTGTGAACTTTACACGAAGTTTAATAAAATGTATACTATGAGTAGACAAGAATCATATACCGAAAATGAACTGAATATCTTTGAAGTAAGAAGAAAAAATTAAAAAAATTAACTTTTTTTAAAAGTTAATAGATGATCTAACTACTAACTAAAATAGGAAGCAATTATTGATTGGTGCATCGAGTTTAAAAGAATATTCTTCCCATTATCTACTACAGATTGCAGTTTTCTAAAGCTGCATAGTTGGCGTTATCATGCAGGTAATATAATTTGAAGATGGCTATTAATTTATACAAATTTTAATTTAATTTAATTATTTCAGTACCTGCCATTGTCAAATATAGTGCACTGAATGGCCTATCAATGGAGACTTACGAAACGCTCCATAAATTATATATTAAAATTCAATATCAAGCAACAAATAAAAAACACGTGATGCAATAACTGGTGAACGCTGTTAGTAAAAGTTTTATAAGATTTTTTTAACTTTTCTCCAACCATAAATACTAAACTATTAATATTTTTGCAGGTAAAGCATAAAGAATTAACTCCAACTACCAGCGGTATGAAAGTCATTTATCGTAAAACTAAAAGGTTTGGAAAAATTCTTTGGGAATTAAATCTAGACTCTATTGATGAAAAAATAAAATCTTTAAAAAAATCTGAAAATCCATCACATCCAAATTATATTGAAGGATTAGCACAAATAATTACAGCGTTAGATACTTTTTTAGACATATCCTCGCAAGATTCAGAAAATGATTTTTTTATCAAAATTTATGATTCAGTTCATCTAGAAAGTAGAGAAATTCTAAGATTAGTGGGTGAATTCTAACATCGGGAAATTTTTTGGGGTGCAGAACTGCGGAGATCTGTAAAATTAGCAGATCTCCGCTTTTTTTTGTCATTTTTTGTGTATTTCTGCGAAGTTCTGCAAACTTTGCAACTTCACAGATAATTGAATATTTTTATCTATAAAATCAGCAAAATTCTGCAATTTTGCAGAATTTCATTTAACAGAAAATTTAAAACATGCCAGTTTTGCGAAGTTCTGCGAAATAGCAGATATTCGCTTTTTGTCTTTTTTTTTTGCGAAACTCTACGAAATTCTTTAACTCAAAATTGCAGGTTTATAATTGCGTTTAAACTTTGAGTAACTAACTAATTAAACTTTTCGATTTCAATTAGTAATTAAGCTTAATTAAGCTTTTCGATCATTTCTGTTGACAATTTATTTTCGCTAAAGTTTTTTAATAGTTTTTTTTTAATACTTTCGTCAACAAATTTACAAATTTTATTTTTTAAACTTTCTGACTTTACTTTCGTTAAAGTTTTCCAGTAATTTTTAAAACATGTATTTATTTAACAAATAACGATTTACTTTGCCAAACCTTGGAACTATATGAACTTCTTGGTTAATTGAACCGATTGGTATTGTGTTGTAT